GCACATTTCACAAAACAATTTAATTTTTAAATTTTTTCACTGAACTTCTTTGAACTGTCATATTTGAAACTCCATCTCTCATGTGCCAAAAATTTCTTTTATTGAGTTGAACATTGTGTAATTGATCTCTTTAGCTCTAATTTGAAATGATGATTCCCTAAATTCCTGTTTGACCTCTTGATCCATTTTTTTCTCTCTACTGTTCCAAATTTTTAAACTTATGCAACATTCTCTTGATGGTTCTTGAATGGAATTTGAAGATGGAAGCCAGAGTATGAATATAGGTACCATTATTGAAGGCCTGAATGACATATATATTACCTAACAGCTTCCTGACTATGGTGATATCAAATACTCTCACCATTGCTCAGTTAGCTCATTTTTTGGCTGGCACAAAATGATTTTAATTTTTTTCTCTTTCTAGATGAATAACTCAAAGGAAAAAAAAAGTGATTCTGAATAAAAAAAATGGTGTCAAGATGGCTAAATGTCTTATCTGAAAACCTGGGAAAAAAAATTTAATTATTTTTTTTTTTTTTTAATTTTTTTTTTAAATATTAAACATTTTTAGGATAAATTAATTTTAAAAAAATTATAGATAGTATATATTGTTAACAAAATGCGAGTTTTTACTCACAGTATATATATTGTACTTCTAAAAGAATTTGTGAATACATTAAAATTATTATATATTTTTGTGTTGATTTTTTTTCTTTCATTTTGACTGTTTTTTTTAAAATTTAAATTTTGTCCTATTCAGGTAACAGCAATATTAAATTTACTAACATTGTTCACATCCACAGTGGATCTGACTACAACATAAAAAAGTTAACAATAATGGAACTTTTGAAAATGGGGTAAAAATGATTATGGGCATTTATAAGTAACATTTGTTTATTAGTGACATAATTATTTACCTTTCAATTTTTTTAATTGCCATATATAATTCAGCAAATAGACAACCACAAAAAAGATTTTTTATTGTCTGTGAATTGTCATGACTTTTAGAAAGTTAGCGGAATTGTTTACTGTTGCTTTCTGTGCAATTTTGAATTCAAATTTGACTTTCTAGCAGATTTTTTTTCATATCCTGTCTTTTCAGAATGTTGGTAATCATTGCTCTCCATAGATCATTTTTTATTATCTGTGAATTGCCATGAATACTTGAGAAAGATAGTGATTTTTCCCTGTTGCCATCTCTACAGGTTAGAATTAAGTGTAGCTGTAGTGATATATGATGATGCTCATTAAACAAGCTAGGAGTCGAAGAATGATTCTTTAACTGGGCATGACAACTGAAAGCACTTCAGTGTGATACTCTTATCTGTCTGATCAAAACATTTTGTTCTGGGATGAGTGTGGGCTGGTGGCTGTGATTTATGGGATTTACAAATCAAGTAAGAGGGAGGTTGTTCAAGATCTATGAAAGACGATCAGTTTGGAACTTTTAGCCTCTAACAATTTAATACTTTAATTTTCAAATGTTAATTAGCAGCCATTCTGTCTTGCTATTAAGCACACGTACAACCTAGAGTGATTCAGCCAACCATTTTTGGTTTTCTGTAATTTTTCCATTATGATTGTCACTTTTCAATCAAGCTACTTTTCCTGTGTCCATAAAAACAGCTATCAAAAAAATTACAAAAAAAAATATATATATATGCTTTAGCCAAGATGTAACACTACATCATTTATGTACTGTTTTATCAATCAAACTAGAGAGCCTAATTAAACCTTAACTTTTTAACCCTTTGACATTAATATGATAAATAATTTGATTTTTAAGCGAGCAATTCAAGCAAGTGTAATTAACAATAAACTTTTTCTACAAAAAGTCTGAATGTAAAAGTATGAAATGTGTGCAATTTAATATTAACAACAAAACACATACAGTATGTATATATATAAAAACCTAATTAAAAAGAAAAAATAAACTACAAATTTCATAAATCTTTTTTTGTTAATATTACTTTCATCAAACATTGGACATTAATCCAATGATTTTGGACACAGGAGAATTTTTTTTATTGAGCTTTATAGATTTTGATTCTAAGTTTATATAATACATATTACAAATACATGAAAATGACATCGTGTATGACAGGCTTTACAAAAAATAAAAAATACTCCATTAGTAGTTATATTTGAAAAAAAAAAAAAAAATATATATATTATTCATTTAATGTTTTAAATACAATTTAAAATGAATATTTTTTTTTAATTAAAATTTTTTTTTTTTATATGAGAATAGATTCAAGTGATTTTCATTTAATTTAATATATATATACATAAAATCCAAGTATCATATCTATCTATCTATATATATATATATATATATATATATATATATATATAATATGTATATGTATTTATAAAGTATTATTGTGTAAATTTACCTTAAAATTTGTTACAACGTTAAAATCAAACTACTCACATTGCAGTGTTGAATTTTCTGAACACACGTTACAAGGCATTTTAGGGTCTGATTCGAATATTGAGAATATTGCTGCATAGATATAAAAAATTTAAATAATAATAATATATATATATATATATATATATATATATATATATATATATGTTAAAATGAAAATATATAGAAAATAGGAAGGAACTGGTTAGGTAAATAATCCAAAGTCCCTTAGTATTTTAGTTATTATTTAAAAAAATAGTGCTCGATACAATAGTAGAGCATAAATATAATTATTTATTTAAAAATATGATTCCAAATCGCGACATGACAAAAGTAAAATAAATGTTTTCAAAACATCTTCGAAAACTTCAAATTTATTTAAATTAAATTGTTTTAAAATAAACTGTCAAAAAAAATCTTAAAGAAAATTTTTTTGGAAAAAATTGTTTCTTGAAGATGGAATAGTGTTATTAAAAAAATTTAATTTAAATAATTATATTGAAAAAAATTTTTTTTTTGAAACATGGAACCAAATGTCACATTTGGAATCATATTTTAAAATAAATAATTATATATATATATATATATATATATATCTTTTTTTCATTACTATTTACATTATTTTAACTATTGTCCTCATCTTTTGTTGCAGGGTTCAGTTTGACATTCCAACCACCTGAAGAAGGCTAGAGTGTATAACAGATGAAACGTTTTACGCTCTGGCTTTTTTCAGGTGGGTGAAAAAAAAAATTTTTTATAATGCAAAAAGATGAGGACAATAAATCCAAATTTCCTAAAAATAATAAAGATTCATCTCATCTCAGAAATATAGATAATATATATATATATATATATATATATATATATATAAGTGAACATTGAAGTCAACTCAGACCTGTTGCCTCTAAGTGTTGACTTCAATGTTCACTTTTATATTTACATGATCTATCTCTGATATTGAGCACTTTATCCCATAAATATAGCACACCTTAAGAGTTATATTTCTTCATATATATATATATATATATATATATATATAGATAATATTAGTGGAAAATATACATACATATGCAAAATATATAAATACCCATACATGTATGTTTTTAGAAAAAAAAAAATTCCAAGAGGAAGAATCCAGGTAGAACTCAATGTCTAGGACAGAGTAAGGATATAATAAAAAGGCTTAAGTGTATATTAGTGTTTCAGCCTTTTTTTTTATATATATATATATATATATATATATATATATATTTATATATTTAACAATTAGTAATTTCTTCCCTAGTATGTCAACTGACCTTTTGTTTTATTTTTCTCTTTCATGGATAACATATTCTTTGGAAGCTTGTTTTGATCAAGTTAATGGCCTTTTAGGCTTCCTCCACATAAGATAACCATTCACTTTTTGAATAATAAGAATATGTCACTGGGGTATGGTCAACAGGATGCAAAAGCAGACTAATCTGAAACTTGAACCCATTTCACCAGTAGCACTTTCTTCTACCCACACATGCCTGACAGTCTATGTACTGTGTTCCCTCAGGACATTGGCATTCATGGCTCTCTACAACTTATTTTCTTTTGTAGCTCTTAATAAATTTTGTCTTTTTGTTGTCTCTCGTAAGTCTTGTTCCACTATCTATTTACTCAAGCTTGCTAGGTAGGTATGCATTGTATTTGTCTGTCTATCTTGCTTTCAATCTGTCCTGTGAGTGTCATATTTTCTAAGCCCTCTTTCTTTATTATGTGCTCTAGAAATTTCAACTGTCTCTTCCTGATGTTAAGTATAAGTGTATTTTTGGTTTGCACTTTCTCTAAAACTTTGTTGTTGCTTGTATTTTCAGTCTATTGTATTCTCAGCATTCTTCAGTAGAACTACATTTGTATTGCTTCAAGTCTTGTGTAGTGAAAGAGAGAATCACCTACCTCAAAAAAGAGTTTGTGTTTTGTGTGTGATCTGCTGAAGAAAAAATTACCAAAGGTTGTTAGCAAAAATCTGCTTAACTATCAGAATCTATGCTAATGTTCTTTCCTACCATGAATGGCATGGCCAATCAGAAAAATCGCTCGGTGAATAAAAGCCGTTGCTTTTTGCTTAACAAGAGCAGGATTTTTCTGAGCTTGTTGCATGAACATGCATTTCTGTTGGTGAGAAGTGAAGGTTGGATTTGTGACCCCATTTTGTCATTTATACGTTGCCTGTTGGACTGTTACGACGGACTATCATTTGAACTATGATTTGGCTACGAGTGTTGTGGTCGAGAGACTGAACAAACCTATTGCAGGCGTTTATTGCTACTATAAGTTTACATTTATTTTTTCTTTACAACAACATCTTGTCTTCATATGTGAGAAGATTGTTCAGCATTCACTGCTACATGAGAGGGCATATATATTACCTAACAGCTTCCTGACAATGGTGACATCAAATCTTGATCGCAACACAAGAATTTTTCTGACACCTTTCTACATAGAATAATGTTTTAACTTTGGCTTCAGCACAAATTACTTGACAACTTAGTATTTCATTAATCCATAAAACAGTACGTTTTATTTAAAAATTTTGATTTTTTTATTCAATTTTCAGTTGATCCATCCAACAGACAAAGAAAACACAGCTCGTAGAAAACCCAAGTCTATATTAAACCGAGACGATGCAGAGAAAGGTAGTGCTACCAGTGTACGTGTTCCCATCTCACTTCAGGGAATTCCATCAAGAAAAGGAGCCAATTTTAACGTGTCTGGCAGCCCTGATTCGGTGTTTGTATGTATATTATTCAAATAATATCTATAGATAAAATATTTCTCACTTAAAGGAAAAAACGCACATTTTCAACTTGGATATTGTGAAATTCATTGATTGGCCAAAAATCTGCTGGGACTAATACCCAGACTTTGCTGTTTGCCAAAAATGCCCCACTAGAAAATCTTTTTACAGCAGAAATACTTCCCATATATATCTCCCATAAATACCTCTCACATTAGTGACAGTGGTGTCTTCATCTAACTAATATCTTATTATAATGTCAAAGGTATATTTGGTAGGTATTTCTCCTGCACCCTGTATAAATATATCTTAATAAATTCAATAGATTTATCTAACCTAAATTTAATATAATATAATATTTTATATAACACAAAACATATCACACCATGTATATGAATATGATAAATTAAAAAAAATGGTATTTAATTTTGTTTGAACATTAAAAAAAAAGAATTTGAATAAATTTAATAAAGATATACTTATGTATAAACTAATGTTTCTTTTATATTCTTTAATTTAGTTTTTAATTAAGGAAGCAGACAATGAAATAAAAATTTGTTGAGTTTATCTGTATGTATGGAAATGCTTTAATAATAGGTTGAGTTGCAGATTGAAAAGTGAATGCATAATTGATTCGGGTTTAGACTTATTTAACAAAGTAATTTCACCATGATTACTTTAACATTCACTTTGAATTTTGTACTTTATTTTCTACTAAGATTTTAAAAAAAAATTTTTTGATTATTTTTTATTATATTTTTTTATGCAAGTGTTTCTGATGATACTTTATTATTATGCGAGTGTTTCCGATGATACTTTATTATTATGCAAGTGTTTCCGATCATACTTTTTTTTTTCTTGCAAGGGTTCTGATGATTCCAGCCAAATCGGACGACTTAATATTATCATTCCTGACTTAGCCTCTGTGGGGCACACTAAGTATGGTCGGCAAGTTGTTCCCGTTCTTCTCAGGGTAAGTTATTCTTTTGACTATAACCCCATTAATGAAGAGCAAGATAACTCTCGGTGCATTTGTTTGCAATAATGAAATAAAGCAACATTTAGTTTTATGGGTCTAGACGAAAACCATCTTTGTTTTAACCTTGTGGACTGGCGTTAAAGAATCACAACCAAAGAACTGTACCAAATAAAAGAAACCACATCCCTTAAGGACTACCAACAGCAGCAACAACTAAAATGGATTACACATGTAACTCGAAGAGAAAGTAATGATATAATCAAGGCGTTGACATTTCACACTACTCCAAAGTCAAAAGTCAAGGAAGGAAGCCCCCAGCAGTACTGGAAAGAGCAATAACAGCTACTGAACTTACAAAACTTGTTTACCTAAAAACTTGTTTTAAGAGAAATATTTTATAAATTTTAAGTGACATTAATACTAGCTGCGTGGTCAGTGAACGTCGAATGTTTCCGTATAACCATTACCATAGTATAAGAATGTGGAAGGATCAATTTTATTTGTCTGTTCTAAACATTTAAACTTTGTCTATAAGATATAATAGTATTAGAGTATTATCTGAACGCATATTTATTTTGATAGTATACTTCCATTTATATTTTAACCATATGAACTAATAATATACATTGATACAAGATTAATATATAAAAAGTGAACAGGCGCCTTCGGTGGCAAGTTAAATAGGTCAACACAGAGTTTTCTCCCTTTAGTCATATACTGCGTTTAACATTTTTTTTTCATCAAGTTGAATTTTTTTTCTTTTCTTTTCTTTTTAATCATTTCACCCCAAGCAAGTCAAGAAAGTCACTAAGACGCTAGGGAGGTGGTTATTGAGTATGAAAGAATATAAAAAAAAAATTAAGGGGCAAGAACAATAAAAGAACAAAAATTAAGAAGACGAAAGATCAAAATCGACTGGAAAGCAAAAAGCTGGAAGAAAGTCCTACAAATGAGAAGTACAAGAAAAGAAACTGTTAGCATTATAACTTACGGTTACATTTTTCAATTTCAACTCTAAAATAATGGCATCTTGCTGCCAATCTAGTATTTGACTTAAATTCATAAAGTCTCAGTACCAGAGAGCAAAGCTCAGAATATTTACCATAAAAGTAATTATAGAAAAGGCACAGGGAAGCTACATTATGGTGGTGGAAAGTGACTGAGGCAGAGATGCCAGGTCAGAGCCAATAACATTGCTAATTCTTCTTTGGTTTTTATCATGGATCTCTAAATGTATATCCGAAGCACCACACCATATGTGGCAGCAATATTCAAAGTATGAGGGAATGGTAGACTTAGAAATATGTAAGATAGATTCAGTTAAGAAAAATTGTCTAGCACAACACAGTGAACCAACAGTAACTGATTCAATATAATATTTCCACTTCATGTCAGTGGAGAACATTGACCTGGGAAGGTGCAATGAATCACTCTCTTGGAGGTCAGCATCAGCCATGCAGATGGAAGGATGGAATACAGAAATGGTTCTCTCTGATTATTAATAGAATGCAGTTTTGTTTTGGAGCTGTTAAAATTACCAAGCTATTCCTTGCCCCAATTAACAGAATATAGCTCATTTTTTAGATAAGCTGCCAATTTGACCATTACTTTTTAAATTTCACTCTAAGCAAGGCAATAAAAGCCACTATATTGTTACTTTTATTCCAGTTTGAAATTGTTTTGTATAATACAATCTGTATTATTAGGAGATAATCTTATGTGAGTCTTACATGCATGAGTGATACTTTATCTATTTCATAACAGTTTTATCAGCAAGCAAAATTCAAATTTTGTCATATAGCTGCATTGTTTCTTCTTCGATTTTCCTCTGTACTATATTGTTTGTTTAGGAACCTCAGCATGGGGTAATGGTTAATGAGATTAGTCTGATTGACTTTTACTACTAATTTGTGTGTTTCCTCCATATAAGAATTAGACATGAAGTGAGCCAATAATGGTTGGAATGTTGTAAAATCATCCAGCCTAAACCATTTTGCTTGTTTACATGGAATGGTACTATTATAATGATTGTATGGCTGCAAAGAAAAAACAAGGATTAAAATTTCAGCCGCATATACTGATCACGTTTCAGAATATATACATGTGTGAAAAGGTGACAAAATTGTTGTTCTTTAGTAAGGGAAGTGATTTGGTGTAAGTTTGTTGTTGGTAAGATCTGGAGTTGTTGCGTTGGTTGACCAAGGTTATAGTTGGTGTCAGGAGAGAGGCCTAGAATGGTTTAGTGAAGCTGTGTGGTAGCACAAGTAGGGTGTCTTTTGCAAGGGTAATCCATCTATGTTCAGGATTGAAACTGAAACGGGTGTGTTGTGTGGACAACCTGACAGTTGTGTTATGAGGTCAAGCTATTGAGCTGAACTGTCAGTTGTCAGCATAGCATGCCATTTTTATATCTGTGGTTTAACGGATTCTGGCTCCAAGGTTCATCCCCTTTTTCTTTTTTGCCAGTAGCAGCAACATTTGTAATTGGCTGTTGTATTTTAGATTTATACGGGGATTTGTCTTGTGGACCAAATGTGATGTTCAGAGCCTGTTATTTGGGGTTTTGATTTCTTATCACTCACATCTGGCCAATACGTCTTAGTGAAATGTATTTGTGAATCAGAAAGAGATTTTGATTAAAGTAATATAACAGTAGTTGTAGTGGTAGTAGCAGATGAATTTCATATTTGGGGAATACTGAAAAACTGTAACATACAAAGTCACCTTAAAATTAGTATGTCCCCCACTGAATGGGGAGAGAGAGGAGACACAGCAACTTTTGTGTAAAGAGGTTAAAATAAGGGAGAAACAACAGTGATCCATCCAACAGACAAAGTGTTGACTTCAATGTTCACTTATATATATATATTTCTGAGATGAGATTAAGTACATTATTTACATTATTTGGACTATTGTCCTCGTCTTTGTTGCAGGGTTCATTTTGACATTCGAACCACCTGAAGAAAGCCAGACCATACAACGTTTCAGCCGTTATACACTCTAGCCTTCTTCAGGTGGTTGGATTGAAGGAATCTGTCCATATACTCTGCTCAATAAGCCTACTAAGTAATGTTAATGTTAGCTGTTTCCTTATAAGGAAACATTCGGTATTCATTGGTCAAGCAGCCAGTGCTGCTATCTTCTAGATGAAATTCATGGATTCTTTCTCTTCAAACAATTATTCAGTAAAAGAGGTTTCTCGACATTAGTTATTGTTATTTCCAGTATTTTTCTATTTTATTTTATTTTTAATCATTTCCGCTCTAGGAAGCAAGGAAGTAACACCACTAAGGTGTAAGGAGCTACTGGTAGTGAAAGAGAATAAGAAAATTTTAAAAGTAATGGGAAACAGTAAACAAGTGATAATCCTGTAGTCCTGTTCAAAAGGGGTGGACGATAGAGTAGAGTATTGATTAGTGTTTCCTTCCTAAATATTTCTTTGAAGTAATGTGGATTGTCAACATCTTGATTATGTCATTAATTTCTTTGAGTTACATTTGCTATCCATTTTAGTTGTTGCCGCTTTTGAAAGTCCTCAAGTGATGTGTTTTCTCTAATTTGGTACGGTTCTTTGTTTCTAATTCTGTAGCATCAGTCGTTAAGGTTCAAAGAAAGATGGTCATTGCTATGGACTACAGGCTTCGTTTGCTTGAGTAATTTGCATTATCGCCCTGCTTGTGGTGAATTCATTAAAACAAACAAAAAATTAATAATCTTTCACGATTGAAAAGGCCAATAATTATCTCAGTTCAAGGGAAGTAACTCTATTGTTTTCTGTAAGAAAAAAAATAATAATAAAGGTCTTTGAAAGGTGAATGTTTTATAAACCATGAACAGAAACATTTTAAAAACGTCAGGAAAAAAAAAAAAAAAACAACTCCTCATTATCATGGAGGTAGCTTAAAACTAAAAAGAAAAAAAAAATCAGGATCTTGTCACAGGAAAAGTTTTATTGCTACTTATACAAATGTGCAATTAATTAGCAGATTGTTTTGCTTATGAATACATCACATAGTAGCTTAGTGATTACAACATTGAATTACCATGTGTGATTTAATTACTGTTTGTACTCGTGTATAAGCTGACTTCAGGTATAGTGTGACCAATGAATTTTAATCCCGCCAGAAAAATTTACCTGTGTATAGTGCAACCCTCTATTTTTTTGTGTAAAAACCACAGTAGCCAGGTATTGAACTCACAACTCTTTGGGTCAAGTCTGGATCTAACCAATGCTTTTATCTACTGGGCCATCAAGGACATATTTGATCTGGTGTGCTTTACTGCTCAGCTACAGAAAGTCTCACAGTTCAGCAAAACTTTATTTTCCCTTTTAGAGAAAACACACATCCTCATTCAGATATTTTTTTTTCTCCAAAGCCAATATCTGCTCAGTTTCATATGCAAAACGTAGACAAAGCAATTTCTAAAAAATATTGTTTTCTTTTTCCTTTTTTTTTTTTTTTTTTTTTTTTTTTTTTTTGGGATCTGGGTGTTAAAATATATGTGTGTGTGAAATTGAAAACTGTGTACTGAATTAAATATTGATTTACCCTGTTTTGAATGTATTTTTTTTTTTTTGGGGGGACAATTTGTTTAAATTTATTGTATTTAAATATTTTTTGATTGAAATTAATTGAGAAAATATCTTTGAAAACTGACCATCATTTTTTTTGCTTTTCTTCTCCATACAGTACATTCCTGAATGGTGTCAGTCCATAAACTTGCTACAAAAATGTATTCATCATAAAGACTGGAAAATGGCCATTGATATCACACTGCATATGAAGCAATATTCTCAGGTTTTTATCTTTTTCTTATTCACATATCAAACTATTGATTTTGCTAAATTGTACAATTCCTTTTCATACTTGAATTTATTTTGTATGTTGTATGGAAGTATTATTTCATAGTCCGATTATAATTGTGCTTGTTCTTCCCTATGTTAGTTTTCACAACTATTATGGGCTACCAATACCTCATAAATAATAGACTATTCAATTTTGATTGTGTGAAAAGAGGGGAAAGACACTAGTTGGTTTCAGTAAGAAAATGAAAGAAAGAAGGAAAGATAGATACATTTAACACAAAGGTGTTAAACGTATCTATCTTTCCTTCTTTCCAATACCTAAAAAAAAATACCTTCTTTCCAATACCTAAAAAAATACCTTCTTTCCAATACCTAAAAAAATACCTTCTTTCCAATACCTAAAAATACCTTCTTTCCAATACCTTTTAAAAAAAATACCTTATTTCCAATACCTTTAAAAAATACCTTCTTTCCAATACCTTAAAAAATAATGGGCTTATTCCATTTTGATTGCATCAAAAAACAAAGCACATATCAGAAATGCTACTTGGTTTCAGTGAGAAAATGAATGAAAGAAAAAAGGAAATAAAGGAAGAGCTTTTTCAGTGAAATAGAAAAAGTTGTCAATTTCAAATCGTTTCATTTGTATCTTCTTAAAATGATGACCAGCATTCATATTAATGATTGTTATTGCAATATTTTGTTAGTTTTTAAGCTCAAATATTCAACAAATAGGTGAATTTCTATGAATATTTTATTTTCATAGATAATAAAAGATGAGCATATTCAATCATTAACTTAAGAATTAACTATAAATAAATTGTGTTTATTGTTTTTGTTGTCAATTCTCAAGAACAAAGAAAATGTATAAATTCACTTTCATCATATTTAGGTTTTATTAAAATTCTAATCATTGCTTTTTAAAGCAAACATTGCCAAGAAGTAAAGGTAGTTAAAATAATAGCAGTGTCAAGGAAAAAAACTGTCCTTTTGACTCACTTTCTTTCTAATTTTTTTTTTCCTTTTTTTTCTTTTTTTTTTCTTTTTTTTTTTTTTTTTTTTTTTGCTGGCATCAACGTTTAAAGATTGTCAATGTAACTAAACTAGTAGAATGAATAGAATTCTTGAATATAGTGTAAAGTTACATATTTAGTAACTGTTTAATTTTACAATTTTTTTTGAATTTGTTTTTGTTTTTTAATTGCTGAAGTCACACTGACATCAGTAGTGGATTTTAAGATTTGGTCAAAATTGAGTTCAGTTCCTTATAAATGAGTTACTTATTTTAAAAAAAAGTGTTTCATGGATAATATTTGGTTATATGTGATGTAATATATTTAATTTACTTTTTTGATTATGTGATTTTCCCCTCATATGTTTGAAAACTCGGATCTCTTGGACTATGAAATAATACTTCCATACAAGTTCTAAATCTACTGACATCTTATAGTCTTTGAAATATCTACTTGCAGGCATTGGCTTTTCACTTGATGATGATTGGTGATGCTGTTGATGACTTGAAGAAAGAAGTGGCAGTTCAGCTCAGTATCCAAGTTTTGGAATTTTATATAAGGTAAATATTCTTCTCAGAAGCTGTCTTTTACTTGCAGAATCTTACTGTTTAAAATTATAACATTTACAGTTATTGATTTTGGTGAGAAAGCTTGCGTTGGCACAGTGACTGGATTTAATCTACAACAGAACCAGCTTTATCTGAGATAACATTCCTTTATTTGTGATAATGTCCCTTTATTTATAATAATATCTCTTTTGTAATAGTGTTCCTTTATTTGTGATCTTGTTCCTTTGTGACAGTGTCTCTTTCTTTTCATTGTGATAATATTCCTGTAGCAAAGAAAAAGAAAGTTAGTTACTGAGAAAAAGGGCACATGTTCTGCATGATATACTGAAGATGGAATATCCAAAATAGAAACATGTCAGACATAGGTGTTGCCATAAATGTATCTCAGATATGTTAATATTGAAAAAATTGTTCCATTGATAAAAGCAGTTGGTGTTCATAAATTGGAGAGGAAAAAAAAAACAAATTTGTTTATTTTGCTACCTCGTCCTTTGGCTGGTGTGTTGGATTTCTGACTGTTTACATGTATTAGGATTGGTGACACAGGACATGTGAATCAATATTTCAACATTTCTTTCTGCTCCTGGATCTTCAAGTTTGGACTTGCGATTTGTTTACTTCATTATGGAAGTAATCTGCCATGTCAATTTCAGAACAGGAATTTTATTCCAAGCATGACAACCAACTACAGTTCTCTTTATTTTTAATAATGTCCCCTTTGTGATAGTGTTCCTTTGTAATATTAACCTCCTTATTTATGATAATGTCCCCTTTATTTATGATAATGTCCCCTTTGTGGTAGTGTTTCTTTATTTGTGATAGTATTCCTTTGTGATAGTGTCACCTTTTATTCATGATAACGTCCTTAGGTTTATTGGATTTCAGAAGAAACTACTCTTGATAAAATCCAAAGAAGAATCTGTAATGTTATTGGTCCTGAGCTGGCATTCCAGCTTCAGTCACTTTTCCATGACCATAATGGAACTTACCTGTTCCTTTTGTATAAATAACTTTTATGGTAATTATTCTGATGAATTTTGCTCTATGGTAAATAGACTTTATGAATTTAAGTACCATACTAGATTGGTAAAAAGGTTTTATTGTTTTACAGTTGTTTATTGTTTTTCTGGCTTCTTGCTTTCCAGCCAACTTTGATCTTCAAAAATTTAAATGCAATGTAAATCATTATCTACTGTCTTCTTGATTCCTCTTCTTTTATTTTTCTTGCTCCTTAATGATTATTTTTTTTTTTTTTTTTTTTTTTTTTTGCGCTCTTGTGTTTTATTGACTTTTTTATCTTGCTTGGGAAGAAGCAGCATTTAATCCTTTCAATCTTTATTCTTATTTGTCATTAGTCGTTTAGTGAATCAAGAAATGCCTGTCTCCTCCAAAGATGGATGCATCCATTTTGCCTTACTTCAGGTAAGCCTGGATTTTTGCATTTTTCATTGTCTTTTTCTTTTATTATGTTAACTGCTCTCATCTACTTGTATCTCTCTCTTCGTGGGGGTGTTTGAAAATACAAAGCTTTGTACCTGAACGAAATACAGGTACCAAGTACATTGTATATATACTCCCTCTTGATACGTGTCCTTGTCTTGCACAGCCAGATAAACATCTTATGGCAATCAAAACTGTTGGATGTTGTAAGAATGTAAATGAAGTTTGTTTTTTTTGGGTGGGGTTATCTCAAGAAAGACAACATGCTAACAAAGTATAGAAATATGATATATGCTTTCTCCCTGATCTGAAAGGATGTGCAGATGGTGCAAATGATATTGGCACAGAATGAGAAAATGGAGAGCAGAGTTTGAATTCCACTTGGTTTCTTTACATTCACTTATGCACAAATACCTTTGGGAAAGGTATAAATTCATCTCCTCCCTCCAGCTATGGGTTAAATAACAGGATTTGTATCTAGAAAAAATAGATTTTTCAGCTTTAAATAACCCATAAAGGTTTAAGACGTAAAAATCAGTCAATCAACACTCTGACCCTAAAAAAATATGAAAACTTTCATGTTTTCAAATGTTGATTCTTGATCTAAGAGAACAAATGCATTTCAACTAATACATGTCATATATTATGTTTGTTTCATTATCCTTAGAATTGTCTCCCCACTAGCTTCTTCACTGAACTGTGGACAGGTGGCAGCACACCAACCTTTATGGAATGTAATTTAAAATAAGAGACAAGAAGCAGCAATAAGTTTGAAATACCCACATATAGATAACTCAGTCAGCAGACTCAGCATAGTTTACAAGAACCAGTAACTGTGGAGCATGAGATTGAGGAATCATTTTTAGACTACTGGACTTGACTCAGGTTGTTGTACTTAGTAGAGCAGCCACCAGACTGCAATTTATTGAAACTACACTGTCTATCAATTATCGAGGAATGACACACCAACCACCAAATGTCATTCTAAAGTTTATTTACTTGCAATGTTACATATTAATTAATAATAATTGTATAAGGAGGTGTTTAAAATTTTTTGGTCTACTCCATTATTTAAAATCAGTATTCCAATGACCAAACCTCAGAATACTGACCTTTTGGTAAAGGGGAGCTGGACAAGAACTTTTCAGCATCCCACTATATATAGTGTAATTTATTTAAATGGTGAATTCTGGTGAATGGATTTTTTTTTTTTAAATAACCCTTTTTGATATAATATATAAAATGTTTTTAAAAATTTTTAATCATTTTGCATTTAAAACATTTTTATATACTAGAATGATAATTCTTGTGAGAAAAGCTTTCTAGTTAAGGAATTTACTATAAATATTTAATAACTTTTTTTAAAAGTTTGTCACTGTATCTATCAGTGCTTCACTGTATACCTTCTTAAGATTATTACACCCTTATATTTATGATTATTGATTCTTTTTCTAGGTCCTCAGTCACTGGAATAAATATAGTTTATCATCAGCCAATTTAGAAAAATTTTTTGACCAATATTTTGATTCTCTTGCACCTTGTCTTGGATCAATTCTTCTCAGGTGAGTTTGTTAGTAAAAAAATAAGCACTCATTAAATTCTTTTCAGGTGAATTTGTTAGTAAAAAAAATAAGCACTAATTAAAAAACATTAAAAAACATAAGGAAAAAATTAATTATTTTTAATATGTGGAAATCTCTGCCTTTTACCTGAAGATGGTCATGAGACCAGAAACATGTGTAGTAAAATTATGGAAAATAAAGCATAATATTTAAAAAAAAAAAAATCGACATTACAACCAAAAACGTTTGCAGTACCTCTCTTCTCTTCTTTTTAATATACACACTTTTCTCTCATTGGAACCACTATAACCTCTTTCTCATATATATATGTATATATATATATATATATATATATATATATATAAATATAAAAATTGTGTATTTTGGGCAGAAATCCTCTTTTATACAAGTTTCATTAAAGACAACTGACAAAGTACTGTGATTAAGTTTTTTTCATTTAGTTTTTCTTGTGTTCAGCCGTTTTAAATTCAATTTGAGGTTTTACTGTCTATCCATTATTAGATAAACTTTGCAGCCATGCAAAATTGAAGTCACATGTTAAATCCTAAAAGTAAAAATTCTATCTTTCAGAGATGAATCTCTAATGGACGAATTCTATAGCAGCCTGAGGAGTTCAGATCAACCAAGAGCAACAAGCTACCAGTACAAGGTCACGTTTTCTACCACTTTCCTCCTAAAACTTGTGTCTAACATTATTCACAAGATACACACTGAGGTGAACAAGCCTTCCCCAAAAACCTCCCTTGTCGTGAAGAAAATGCTGCAGGCTTTCAATGAACGTGCCATGTCAGGGATCATGCCGAGTGATAAACTGATACCACACTTTCAGCTATGGAATGATATAGTTCAGAATATTCGTAAGATGTCTGTTGCTCACCCAAGTGTTGCCATCTCATATCCTGAGCTGCAGCATCTTCAACTGACATCAGCTCTTGCAACTAATGCCAACTCCACAGACTCTGATCACCACTTGGCGGATAACTTACCTTCCACGTCGTCAACTGAGCAAAAGCCACCTGTGCTCCCCTCAAAGATTGTAGCCTTTACTTGTGGACATCATTTTCTGGAGCAGTCATTTAAGAATGACACTTTGGTTAATCTGAACATTCAGCTTGCCAAAGACCAGCGTCTTCCCCGGGCAGCAGTTCTTCTAACAGAGTGTTACAGCAAGTTTGGTCTACTGCCCCTGGCATGTCCTCGATGTGTTATGCAAACTATTAGCACAATATAAGCATAATGTTTTTAGCCTTGAACTTTATTTGGGGATTATTTTTGGTTTGGGATCGGGTAGGGGTGGATGAATGGAGAAGTCGAGCAGTTCTTTGGTTATAGTTTATTAAATGTAGAAACATTGGTAGTAAGTAAAAATAAGGAGAAGGTCCAATACAAATTTTGAATAATGGAAACTCTTTTCTGAAACTTTCTGAGATGACATTTATGTTGGAAGAAAGTTTACAAAAATATATTTGCTGCATATTTCTGCAAACGTCCTAAACTTGCACTTTTGGGTATGGGCTTCAGATCAGCAAAATGAAAATCGTTTCAATGATTAGTGTTATATATATATATATATATATATATATATATATATATATATATATATATATACATACATACAAAGGAAAATGTATCTCAACTCATGCATTTCATCTTCTGATGGACTTTATCAAGGCAAATGTAAGGATTTATTTTGCAACAAGTATTTATAAACAGGTATGGTGAAGTAATGGATGGCGGCTCGGATTGAGGAATCGGAGAGGAAAGTTTGACTTTCAGTTGAATCCATTACATTTGCTTATGTGCTAATACCCTTGGGAAAGGTTTGAATCCTATTCTTCTACACCCCACCCCTGCAGCTAAGGGTAAATACCAGGACAGACCAGGTTCTGTAGCCTTGGATGGCAACTGGTCTATCGCAGAAAGAAATGG